TTCAAAGAACAAGTTCTTGGATTCATTGATTCTTCATATTTTTTCTTGCTTCTAATTAATTGATTTCTGCTCTGGTTTTTGTTATTTCTTCCTGTCTGATGGGTTTAGGTTTCATTTTTATTGGCTTTCGAGAGTCTTGAGTTACAATGTTGTCATATATTTGTGTTCCTTTTGATTTTGTAATGTAGGCACTTAGAGCTATAAACATCCCTCCTTGGACTGCTTTTAAAGTGTCCCAGAGGTGTGTTGTTTCTTATTGTCCTTTATGTTTAATTCCAGGAATCAAATACTTTTATTTCTTAATTTCACCTTTGACCCTCTCATCATTCAGGATGGTGTTGTTTAATCTTCATGAGTTCGCGTAATGAGGGCATCTTCCAGTGTTGATTTTATGCTTTATTACATTATGATCTGATAGAATGTTGAGGTTTGTTTTTTATCCCAGTATGTTGTCGATTCTGGAATAAGTTCCATGGGGTGCCGAATAGAAAATCTTTTCTTTGGTGCTTGGGTGATCTTGAAATGCAAATAAAAATATAATAAAAGGGGATAGGAACTCGAGTGATATGAAAGAATGGGAAGGATATTTGGAGCTAAAATTTTAAGTGGGGATGGGAGTAAAAGTTTGGAAAATAAAGAATGATGCATGGTATTGTTTAATTCAGATATCTCTCTGTTAATTCTTTGTCCTGTTGACCTGTTAATGAATACAGTGGGTAGGGAAGACCCCTACTATTAGTGAGTTTGGATTAATCTCTGTTTTGATGTCCTGTAGTACTGTTTTTATGAATTGGGTGCATGAGAGTTTGGAGCATATATGTTCATGATTATGATATCTTCTTGGTTAATTGTTCCTTTGACCAGAATGAAGTGACCATCTTGTTCTCTGCTGATTAGTTTCAGTGTGAAGTCTGTTTTGTAGATATTAGAATTGGCACTCCTGCTTTTTCCTTAGTGCCATTTGCTTGGAGTATTTTTCCCATCATTTCACCTTAAGGTAGTGCCTGTCCTTGAAAGTCAGATGGGTCTCTTGCAGAAAACAAAAAGCAGGCCTGTGCTCAAGCTTCTTAGTTTGTTTAACTCATTCTTTATTTTCCAAACTTTTACTCCCATCCTCACATAAAACTTCAGCTCCAAATATCCTTCCCATTCTTTCACATCACTCGAGTTCCTATCTCTTTTTATTATATTTTTATTTCCATTTCAAGGTCATCGTTGCCCACATAGCTTCTTCATTCACACTTCATTTTGTTTAAGCTTCTTCTTCCCCTTTGTCCCATGCCCATATCTCTACTGCCTGCTTTAACCACTCAGATGTCAGTATTTCCCTTCTACTACCATCTAACCTATACTCTCTCTACCTCCCTTAATCAAATCTACCTAATTGGATTTAAAGCCATGCCAGTGGGAGGGAACCCATGTGTGGTACCATAAACATAGTCAAATACACATGTTGGAAAGATAATTGATCGTAGAGAAAACACTGTAATATCCCCAGACAAATGTAATTTCTTACTATATGCTAAATATGGATCCTTATATATTTACAGATAATTATGCCAGTCACTACTCATCAAAGAAGCTTTTTCTGTAAGAGATGGAGGCTATTACAGAGTTCCACAACTGGTTGCACACACAGAGTAAGTGTCTGTGAGAGGCCCAAGCACAAGTTACACAACTACTATGGGCTCTCTATACCTGTTTCATGGAACATAGTGGGACAAGGAGTAAATAGATTACTAATACATCTGTCAGCTCTCATCAGTGAAGCTTCCTAATGCAACAGCGGACAATGAATGCAAAAGGCCACAATGGGCCAAAGTGTAGATAATAAGGGGCTGCAGAGTGTGGGACCCTGGAAAAGATTCCTATATTAACCTTCACCCACTCAGAGTTCAGGAACCATTACGGAAGAGGGGGTGGAAAGGTTTTAGAGTCACGGGAAGAGGTTGTAGTACCATAAGGAAATAGAACTGTACAGACTCCTGAAACCTTGCTCATATGAACTTATAGCAATACACAAGACCCTTGAAAACTCAGTCAGACAAAAACCAACATAGAACTGGGGAGTGGGAAAGAAACCACAACTTTGGTGAAGAACTATTGGCAGATGACCATCACTGAGTAAGAGAGAGTTGATATTTTTTTCAGGGAGTGATGCTGGACAGGTTGAACAGGCTCCAGTGAATGAACTCATATGGAAGAATATCTGGGTACACAAACTTTACTCAATAGCCCTTAACATATATGACAAATGTATGAAGTCCTGTGGTTGGGATGTGGTGGTTTGGATAAGGGGGAGGGGGCTAAATATGATTAAGTTGTGCTGTAAATCCACAAAAATTCAATCAAAATATACTTTTAAAGGTACTAAATAGCATTTCTAATATGTTCTCATGTTACACTAAGATTGGTTGTTGTTCAAATGACCAGACCAAGTGGAAAAGTCAGAACAGTGCCTGCAGTTTATTTTACTTATGTCACAGATAAGTGGCTGTTGAAGTATGAACAGAGCAACATTTCTAGTCTTAATAAAGGAGTTTGGGCTTCAGAAAAGGAAATAAAAGAATCAAGCATGCCTTCACAAAGGAAAGCTAGGTACAAGTGTAGTGAGGTAGCTAGCACAGGAACTGGAATCTTAGATAAGTGTCAGATGGTCTCTGCAGAAGCTCACCCACAGACCTTGAGACACAGAAATGAGAAATCATTGAAAATGCACTGCATGTATCAACAAAAACATAAAAGGCATGATTCTGGGAGTTGGGAGGATGCCTCAGTAGGTAAAATGCTTGATATACAATTAAGAGGACCTGAGTTTTATATCTAGTGCCTGCGAACTCAGGACTGAGGAAGCAGATAAAGAATGATCCCTAGGCTCAGTGAACAGGCAGTCTAGCCTAATTGACAAACTCCAGGTTTATCATCATGCCAAACTAGACAAGGGCCCAGCATAGATGGGGGAAGTTGGCAAGAAGTCCCAGCCTTAGCTGAAGACATATTGGCAACTGATAGATGCTGAGAAAGGGAAAGTCATTTTTCCTTATTAGTGTGAGACTTGATAGGTTGACTATACTCTAAGAGGTCGACCCATGTCCAATAGCACTTGGGAAACATGATTAGATTCAATAGGCCTTTTAAAAAATGACAAATAATAATAGAAAGCATGAAACCAGGGTGGAGGGTGGATAAGCTGGGCATGGAGAAGGGCAAGGGTTCTGAGTATGATCAAAGTACAGTGTGTGAGATTCTCCAACCAATAAAAATAGCAAATAAAGAAGAGAGAGTGTAATCAAAGAAGTAACTACACATCTGCCACTGACCTCCACATGTACACACACATGAAAACACACACACACACACACAGCTAAGCAATAAATAAGTATCTATGATTCAGAATTTAAGTGTGGAGTAATAAGCATAATAGGCAAACTAAAGTTTTAAGTGTACATATCCATTTGGACTAAAATTTGTAAATTCACATAGGTATCATAATTATCAAATGTATACTAAATAATACACACCAATTTCTAACCAGCAGTAAGAAGAAGGATTGACAGAAGGAGTCAAGTGGAAGAGAGGAATAGAGGCAGAAAATTAGAAAGAGAAGCAAAAACAAAGACAAAGAAAAGGTATATGTGTGTGTGTGTGTGTGTGTGTCTGTGTGTGTGTGTCTGTGTGTCTGTGTCTGTGTCTGTGTCTGTGTGTCTGTCTGCTTCTCTGTGTGTGAAGATTTAAGGTCTATGTCCGGCAATTTTGCTGGTGATATGATACATAGACCTCTAATTTCTATAGCATGATGTGTTAACAAAGACTGCTGCTTCTGCATTGAATCTATGCTCCCTGTTTAATACCAGTTGTCTATTTTGTATGGAGGTATTTATATGATTTATATTCTGAATATGAATCCTTCCACAAAAACCACACTATAAGCATTGTTTTAAGCTTTCGCTAGTATACATATAGAAACCTCTGAAGCTTCACAAACTGACTGGCACCCTTGGGTGGTGATTAATGCGTTGCAGATTTTAAATATATGGCAAAAGTTTTATTTGTATTATTCTCAATACTGTGTTTGTTTCTTCAAATCCTAATGCACTTGGGAAAAGTCCTCATGCTCGAATATAAACAGCCCCAGTGTATGATGTAAGGAATGGCAAGAACGGGGGAGAATCTGTCCAGCAAATTTCATTAGGCTTATTATTATATTAGCCTTATTGTTTAGCTTTTTGTTTATTTGTTTTTGTTTGTTTGTTTCTTCAATTCTTTCTTCTGGAAAAGTATTCTTTTGAGATGGGTCATTATTATGTAGGTCAGGCTGTCCTTGAACTCATATTCTTCTACTGTAACCTCCTGAATGCTAAAATTACAGGCCTGTGCCTGTATCTCAATCAGTCCTTTACTGTCAGTTTCTGGACGTTTCTTATTGAATATAAACTGGAAAGCTTTGAAGAATACTTGCTATCAACATAGGCCAGAAAAAGATGCCAGATCTCCAGGAACTATGAGCTGCCATGTGAGTGCTAAAAGCCCAGCCCGGGTCCTGTGCAAGAACAATACCTGTTCTCAAATGCCGAATCATCTCCCAGACTCATTTCACATACTTTAAGGTTATTTGCCAAATTTCTAATGTGCATTTAATAAACTTTTAAAGATTTTTATGTCAAGAATTAGAGAATTTGATATCTGAATTATACTGCATATTCAAATTGTTTAAATTTGAGGCTGGGAAGATGGCTCAGTGGGTAAAGTGCTTGCTACACAAACATGGCAAACTGAGTTTGGGTCCCCAGAACTTGCATAAAAGTGGTAGTGCAAGTGTCTGTCATTCCACTGCACCTATGGGAAATTGAAGGTGGAGGCAGATGAGTCTCGAGATGCTCACAGTCCAGCTGACTTGGCTTACACACAGTGGAGAGACACAAGCAGCTTGGAAGGACAAAGACAGATGACCTGAAGTTTGACCTCTGATCTCTACACACACATAAAAAATTCTATAAATGTCATTCAAATTTTAAAATAGTCCTATTCAAAAAAGACAAGTGGTTTTTACTTTTTTTTTGGTTTTGCTTTTTATTAAACACTTCTTCAATAAAATACACTTAAAGCTATTAATGAAAATATGTGTTGCTCTGAAACATAATTTTTCAAGTCTTATACTTAAAACAGCCATTAGCAACTCTTCCTCAAGAAATGTCAGTGGTTATGTTGTTAATTCTGTTATGGTCTACATCAATCAGAAATTCTTTGTGAAAATAAAAGGATTTTTTTCCTTATTTTATTTCTAATAGAAAAGTAAAACTGTCTGTTTTACTTAGGAGGCACAATCATATTTATGGATAAATACTATAGAGTGATTATATCCAGTAAAATAAAATATCACCTGACATAGTCATCACTTCTCAGTAGTAATGTTTAAGTCTACCCTTTAACCAATTTTAAACAAAGTGCTTGAACTTGACCGTACTCAGCATGCTGTGCAATAGACTCAACTTTAATATTTTCAGTAAGACTGTGCACATTGATCAGCCTTTTCATTGTCCTCTTCTACAATCCTCTGGTTACCATCATTTTACTACAAAATTGGAATGCTTTTGTCATACTTATCATTTCTGTCCATAGATGAGAAATATTTTAGTTTTTTATAATATAAAATTCTCCATATTTTCCTAGGTGAGGAATAGCACAGACAGAATATGAAAAAATAATGAAAATTATCCGTGTATACATTGCTTTATAAACATGTCATCCGTTATTTAGAACACTTGTTAAATATGCTGGGGTTACAGAAAAAAAGTTACCTCTTCAAGATATTGTAAGACAAGTTTACCAATTTACACATAACAATAGGTGAAGTCCAGTTGATGTAAACAAAATTCTCCATGGAAAACCTAAATACAAATTAACATACTCTGATTTCTTTTCATGAATGTTGCTTCTAATTAAAGTTTGCCTTTCCTCTGAAATTTAATCAATGATTTCCTTAATGCCACCTTGACATCTTTGTTCCTCAAACTGTAGATCAGAGGGTTGAGCATGGGCCCTACATTAGTGTAAAAAACAGAAGAAATTTTTCCTTGTTCCATAGATCCAGAAGAATATTTAAGATACATGAATGCAGCTGAACCAAAGAAGAGAGAAATAGCCATGATGTGAGAGCTACATGTGCTGAAGGCTTTGGATCTTCCTTGAGTGGATTTGATATTTAGAATGTTAGCAAGGATGAAAACATAGGATATGAGGATGGTAAAACTGGGGACTATGATGTTAATACCCACAACAATGAGAACCACTACATCATTGACATAGGTGCTGGTGCAAGAAAGTTGGAGGAGGGGGAGTATGTCACACAAGTAATGGTTGATGACATTGGCATTGCAGAATGTCAGTCTGAGCATGCAGCCTGTGTGGGCAGAAGCTCCAGCAAATCCCATCCCATAAGAAGCAAAAGACAGAACAGAACACACCTGATGGGACATGGTAAGTTTATAGAGCAATGGATTGCAGATGGCCACATAGCGATCATAGGCCATTGACGTCAACATATAGCATTCAGAGATGACAAAGAAGAGAAAGAGAAAGAGCTGAGTCATGCATCCCACATAGGAGATGACATTCTTCTCAGAGACAAAGTTCATCAGCATTTTGGGACTAAAGACAGAAGAATAACAGAGATCAATGAAGGAGAGGTTGAAGAGGAAATAGTACATGGGGGTGTGGAGGTGAGAATTGAGACCAATAAGAGTGACCAAGCCAAAGTTTCCCACCACAGTGACGATGTAGACCACTAGAAACAGATAAAAGAGAGGTAGCTGGAGCTCTGGACGATCTGTCAGTCCAGCAAGAACAAACTCAGTCACAAGGGAGCCATTTCCAGCCAGTGTGTTCATTCTTGAAATTCTAGGACAGAAGAAAATTTTATGAATGGAAGAATCATCTCTCTGTTCCAAACTTTCAAAAATCAGCAGAATTTGTCAGAATAGATAAAAATTCTTTGTACATGACACCTGAAGGTACTGCCATCACCTCTACTTACTGCCAACACCTTGCCATTTCAGTTGCTCTTGTCTTTTATCTTCACGAGTTGAATAAGATAGCCACATTCTACCCTTTTCACAACCCAGCAAGTTAGTGTGGCTACAGTGCATACCTGCCCATTGATGAACTTAGGTTGTGGTTTGTCTCACAAATTGTCCACCTTTTCATCTGATCTTTAAAGTCTCAGTTCTTTATTTAATTCTTTCATTCTCTATGATGTGAGCATCAGAGAATTCCTGTAGGCCATAAACCATACAGAGCTTCCTCCTAGAAGGGCGTTCCTCATAGTCTGAAAGCTTACTACAAGAATCTGTGAAGCTAACCATTGATAATAAGTGTGAAGGACGTCTGTAAAAGCTTAAGGTCTATCATTAATCATGTTTTATGATGCTCATTTATACATATTATCTTCTACTCTATCCTAGCTTTAGAGGTTGAAGAAAAGATTTGTATGTTCTTTCAAAGATTTTCTATAAGGCCATGGAAGAGAAAATACAATACAATGAAGTTTATATAAGAATTTTGATAACCAAACTACGTGCTTATGAAATATAACCTATGTGCATTGAACTACAATATTTAAATAAGAAAGAGACGAATGCCCTCCCCTGAGATTGCTTTGTATTTCATCTGTCACCTGAACCTGTTATGTCTGTCTTGCTGTCAGACTGAAGAAGAATCTAACTTAACAAAGAGATACATGCAGGCAACTGAGTCCAAGCTCTGTGCTGCTGAGTCTCTTGCTATTCAATATAAATTACCTTCATCATTTACCCACATGGAAAATGAGAGAAATTAATAGAGATCGCATGAGCTTACCCTTTTACGTCACTGAACACTTGGTGCTGCCCTGTTGGTTTGTCCCACTGTCTTGTGTGTGCTTCACTCTCTTGGAGGAAAAATAGCATTAAGTGGGACAAGGCTGACCAGATGCAGTCACAGAATCTTCTGTGTGGTGAAAGTGTCATAACACATGTCTGACCAACTGGATGCTTCAGGAATCACTCTGAACTGTGCATCATTCTTTTAGCCAATCATTTGCCAATGAAGGCCACAGACATAAACCAGAGCCATCATGCAAATTGAGCATATGACATTTGCTCAAGGCTTATAATTCTTTGGGGCTTGATTAGAAATACCAAATAGTTCTCTCCTAGGATCACTCCATGGTGATCAATTAAGAAGAGATAACGGTGTTTGTGCTTAAACCCCAATTTGTGATAACAGACATGAACTTCTCACCAGGGATTATATAGTCCACTGGGAACAGATGATACAACCCTCTATTGTCATTAATGAAGAACTAAATGCAATGAATGTCATTAAAATTGTAGCTAGCCATAAGTCTATGGGGCAAATTAGTTTTATTTAATATTTTTATTTAATTTAAATAAATTTTATTCATTATAGTCATTTTTGCTATTGTGTATTAGCTATACAAGGTAAGGGGTTTCATATGACTTTAGATACATGTATCTAATGTGCTTTGACCACATGTATCACCTCTATTTCTTTTTTATTCCATATCGTATCCCTCCATGCCTTTTCTCCTTTCACAATTTCTCATTTAAACGTGTATAAAATTAGGACACTTTATTTTATGACATGTTTTTGTATTGGTCTCAACTAACATATTTCAGCCTCAATAGAAGAAAATTAAGTCTGTAAGAAAAACCACTCTTTATGACCAACCATTCCAAAAAAACACAACTTCACAATTTCCCCATGTATATCAACATATGCATTATTTTTAAATAATTGAATGATTCACAGGAGTTGCAAAGTGACACAAAAATTCTGGTAAGCTTTTCACCTAACTTCTGTCCACAGGATATCTTCCACAAGCTTAAGACAATAACAAAATATTAACTACACTACAGATGTTGCATACCTCTCAGTAACTTTGTATGAATGTGTGTGTGTGTGTGTGTGAGAGAGAGAGAGAGAGAGAGAGAGAGAGAGAGAGAGAGAGAGAGAGATGCATGGTTTCAGGAAACTCAAATCAGCATATGTATTGCAACAAAATCTGGAAATAGAATTATTCCACTACCATACAACACGCAGACTCTCTGTATCCTCACCATTCACTGTGCCCTCTTGTTCTCTGCGAGCCACTGACCCATCTCTGCACTTTAGCTATTTTAAGGATGATCAATGGACTTATACAATATGTAACCTCTTGAAATCATCTCATGATTTTTATCTATGCATAATACTTTTTAGGCCCATCTAAGTTGTGGCATTTGTCATGAACTTGTTTCATTAACTGCTGAGAAATACTGAATTTATTATATGCCAAGATTATCAATCTTGTGTGGTAATTATAGAGGACTAGATCCTTCTTTTGACAAAATACTGAACAATGAACTTAGGGTTGGTTTAATATTTCAGGGCAGGGTTTGATGACCATATATGAGACTAGTATTTTTCTGAAATTTCAAGTCAAGGGGGTTTCATTAACTCCTATAAATAGAATAAAAACCAATGTGGAGCGCTGAGATTTTCTAGCTTTTCAAACAATAAAACACAAAGTGACCACAGAGATGTTCCACATTTACTGTTTGTAAAAGATTGCATCATAATTATCATTCAAGAACAAATCAGACACGAGTATAAAATCTAACTATGAAAGAAGGAAATTGAGACATTTTTGAAAATATTAAAACTCTGAAAAGAGTCATCTGTGTCCTTTCCTCAGTTAACATGGTGTAGATTTTACACAGGAGGGAACCAGGTCATGATAGAGAGCAGCTTAACATTGTAGAATATTGGCTCAGTGGTAAGTGACAACTGTTGCATCACGCTGCATGTTGGTGGAAGTTTTACTCTCAATGGCAGGAAAGTGGACTGGATCAGTTGATTCCACTATGCCTGAGATCATGGCTATGCTTAGAGCAAGCATAATCTCTATTGATTTGGCAGCCATGCCAAGCAGGTATTACAAATAATGAAACACCCAAACCTTCCCAACAGCAGAAGAGGCTGCATCTATGAACATAAGATATATCAAAGTCCACATAATAAATTAAATATACAAGGCTGGAGGGATGGAGGAGAAGAGGAAGTAAGGAGTGGGTTAACAAAAACTAAGAATGCATGAAAAAAATCCTTATACAAACCCACTACTTAGCAAGTTAATTTCAAAATAGAATTAAAGCAAACAAGAGTTCAGCATAGGTACCCTGCATGGGCATACAATGCAGGATACAGAAGACATTTGTTATTAAATGAAAACTTCTTTACCAGGCATGGGACACCTCCTTACAGGTTATTGGTCAAGGGGGCCCCATATGTGTATATAATAATACAAAATAACGCTATTATTCCTTGTTACCCACCATAACTAAATGATAAGATCCCATTGCTGAAGATACTGCACATTTTATTTTAAAGAGCATCAAGAAAAAAAAAAATTCAAAACAACTAGAAAATTTCTCCCTGTTGACTCACTTTCATAGTGCTAGAAGATTATTTTAAGGCTGATGGGGGAGCAGGGCTGGGCACTACATGCTGTAATACTGACAAGCCAGGCAAGATGAGCCCACTGGTATAATAAAGGCATCGTTGTTATGAGTAAACAACCGTTTACTCATTGGCATTCAAATCTACTTCACAGGAAGAATTCATGCCTGGTACTATAAACCTGGTCAAAAGCCCATGGCTAGGGAGGCATAGCCCCTAGTGCAGAGTCTACTATTGTTATTTGATAAATGTTCATGAAGACCTGGGCTGCTCTCAGCTATGGTCAGTGAAGTTTCTTTTTGCAGTGCATAACAATTAACAGAGACTTATAACTGGTCAAAGTATTACGTGACTGAGTGTTCAGCCTTAAATGGGGTGTCTTTATCATGCTCTCCTTTAAAACCCTGGCCTTCTTTAGTGCAGTACATAGGTGTAGATGGGTAAAGATACTCAGTATCCCACTGAACCCTTAGCACCACATTTATGAAGATGAAAAGCAGCCTTGTATCTTCTCATTTCAGTGCCCGCCTCAGCTGCATTGATACTTCCTAACCAAAAATGGAATATTCATATTTTAGAATGACATTTCCACCATGAGGTAGAAGCTTGGGTCTCAAATTGATCTTGCTGACTATAGTGTGTTATGGGAAACAATGTGCTATAGCTCACCCCACCCTGGCCAATCATTGACTTGAGGGATGTATGGAAGCTCAGATCCTCATTTGACCTCACCTATACCACAGTTGCAGAGGATAAGTAACCACACAAGAATTACCTTGTTCAACTTTGTTGCTTCTGAAGATAGGAGGAACTTAGAAAGTTTTCCTAGCCTCATCGGTAGTCCGAAATTCCAGCTACTACCTACAGACACAGAGGGATACACAGCTATCACTACCCAGCTGAGATCCCCCAGTGAGTGAGGAACTCAGAGAAAGTTTTGGCATCACTAGCCAGATTTTTTACTGTTATAAAAGTATTATATAGCAAATTTATTTTCTATTCTAGGTATTTGCTGCTTTCCATTTGGTCACAGCCAAAAAGGAGATTTGTTTGAGTTTACCTTTTTCTATTCTACATATTTGCTGCTTTCCATTTTCATAGCCAAAAAGTAGATTTGTTTATTTGAGTTTAACACTGGTTTGGTGTTACAGGCTTCCTGGGTATTTCATTTGGGATATATTGGAATTAAGAAGGGAATGCCTTGCAACTTACTGTTACATTGTCTCCCTGTCCCAAGATTCCAATACAATTTGTTTTCTTTTCACATAAAGACTCATTTTTTCATTATTTTATATGCAGAATTCTATCACCTTAAGATAATTTATAAAGTAGGAATGAAACACTCAACCTGGAGAACATGACAGCATTCCACTTCAAATGTCTTAAAATT